CATTACACTGTTTGTTAAACATGCGAAAATCTCTTAATTGATGAATGTGAACTATGTTTTACTGAGGATTAATGATAAAAGCATACCCAAACCATTTTTCATCCTTTCGACAAGCACTTTCCATTGCACTGGAGGAAAACAAAGTCCAAAAATTAGGACAAGTGCAGGTGATGCCAGTGAAACCTGATTGACTGTCAAGTAGTTACCAATTCTGGTGATTATAATTGTCTGGCTGAGCAGGTAGCCGAATGTTCGGCCGGCCATTGTGGCTGCCCGAGTCCATGAGGTCAGCCTGAAAAGTTGTGCTCAGTTATTCAGGATGTAAGGAAAAATGGAAAATTATGCGTTGAATTTATAGAAAATAGAAGATAATACCAAAATTTTGCTGTTTAGTTTCGAATTCAAAGGGTGGATTATACAGTGCGACACACTCTCTCACACACTCACACAAGCGTAGTTTTGTTATGCGTTTTTGCATACATGGAGATGCAACCCAGGCTGGAACGCACCGGGCGGCCCTTGCGATCATGTGTTTTTGCACCGGAATTGAAGTACTCAGGTCATTAAGTGCATGAATGGTTGCTGCTTCACACCTACCTTTTGTGGTTACTAGCATAAATCGCCATAAATCTTGCATAAAGTAAATGTACAATTTCCATTTAATGGTCGTCCTTTAAAAGTACCCCAGCTGTTCAGTGAGAAATTTTTCTGCCAAAACTTTTAAGTGTCAGTACGTAAGAACTGCGCATACCTCAAGGCTGAATTTGAAATACTTGAGTTCTACTTGGACAGGGAACATTCCCCTAAATTTCAGCTTTCGAGCTTTTCTGGTTCCCGAGTTAGTAATTTTCCTGCAGAAATTTTCATACGCCCTTACGTGAGTACCACGCGTAGCTTGCGGCTGATTTTGAAATATTTGGGTTGTACTTAAACAAGGAATATTACCCCAAAATTTCAGCCTTCAAGCTTTTCTGGTTACCGAGTTAGCAATTTTTCCACCAAAACATTCACATGCCCATACA